TTAGTCTGTTTGTACATAGATTAAATATTGCTTTTTTACATTTAAGGTACTCTATATTCTACCTCTTATCTGAAACCTAAATTACTTTACTTAAGCAGAGGGATTTCTTGCATATGAAGATATTTCTGAGCTGGAATCTGAAGCTTTGAAGCTATTAGCACGAATCCCTTCAGATGATCGGTCAGAACTCGAAAATGCTTTGATGGAAATCCTCACACGCGCGCAACTTAGAATTCGTCAGCTTGTCTCAGATCCATCGGATGTTTTATCAAATTCCCTAACTGATCAAGGTTTCATTAATTCCGAATTTATTTTATCTTGAAGAGGCTATTAATGCCCAACTAACCTGCAAATTGACGGAGGAAAACGCTGTAAATTGTACGACTTTGATTTCACCTGATTTACAGGTTTGTATAATTTTGTTCTTACTCGTAGATGGCAAACAAAAACCTTTTATTAGATGATTCTATTTCGATCGATTCGGTAGAAGCGGGTAGATCTATTGAAAGGATTTTTGGTTTGCTTTATCATAAGCACCCGGAATTTCGACTTCTAGCCGCTGATATCAAGAGACTTATCTGCTCTGTATGCAGCCAGGTAATACATGCAGAATATTTTTGAATTTTTTTACGATCACAGTCCAATACGATCTTAGATGAGAGCTTGGGCGCTGATAATATTATTAACTCTACAAATTTGAGTTTTAAATCAAAATTCCGTTTATTAGTAGGTTTAAACACTATTGGATGTATTCCATCCTATTTTGTCTAAGGTGATGAAGGACTCTTAGTCGAGTTTTCCTACAATGATATTAGTAGGCTCCATATTTCCATTAGATTTCGCGTAGCCCTATAGTGCTGTTTTGACTTCGCCCTCAGCGGGACTCGAATTAATGTACTCAAGAAAAAGTCATTTGCGGGCCAGTTTTAATGGAATAACACTGGGCTCCTTCAAACCCTCCTCAATTTATTCCAATATCTTGAGGTTTATTTACATTTAATAGTATTTAGGAATTGGTTGGTGGCATAAGGAAGAGTTAAAACAATGCTGCTATGAAATTTCCAGATTAGATAATCATGACCTGCATGAGGCTTCTTTGGTTTATAGAAAATATAGTCTTTTTCGTGATAAGATTAAAGCATGCCCACTAGAATATGAAACAAGAATAGATACGGCGGAGGATTGACGGCTAAACGGCTAATTACTTATTATATCATTTGGACTTGTTTGTAGCTGTAATATTCACATAATTTAACCTAAAAACAATATTCTTTCCTAAACCAATAAACATGTTCATGCAGACCCAGGCTCTTGCATTATTGCAAATATCACTCTTCGTTTAAACCGAAGGATGTTTTTTTATATGGAGGAAATAGGATTAAAGAGACTAATTAGTCTAGAATCCCCAAGGTTCTATTGAAATCATGCATTTTATTAGTCATCTACTCAGCTAGATCGGTCAAGTACCATACATAATTATGCCTGCCATATGGGAACCATATTATTTCCGTATGACAGTCTATACGGCTTCTCATCCGTGATAATTGTATTTAATGACTTATTAAATCACTTTCATTATTTATTTCCTCCAAGCCTTGCATTTTAATATACTCTTATTTGAACCACCTATACTGCATATGACTATACCTAAGTTTCATCTTTCATACTTTTTATAACAATTTTACATTTCAATTGAATTAATGCTGTTTTATAAAAGATAGGAAATACAAAACTTATGCAAATTATGTGAGAGAGTCCGTTAACTTTATTATCTGAAAGCCTTTAAAAGTAATAGGGTTTTTTAGGCTTATTTAACAATTCACTCTTTTTATAGATTACTGGTAACGACGCCTCTCATACTTTAAATCGCCTTTCGTATATATCAGGATATTTTGCAGATGGATTTTCCTCTTCCCTTGGAGCTCTTCGGCAGCCAATAGAAGCCTATGACAATGATATCTCTACTCTTCCTTGGTCTATTTCTATAAAAAAACTCCTTTATTTGTTTGCTTGGCATACTGTATGCCGAGCTGCTATCAATCAAGCAGGAAAACAACTGGCCTATAATCTGGAAAGTGCTGTTTCATTTGGAGCGCTACTCACTGGCCTACTTTCTCGTCATCTAAAAAAATCGGTAACGATTACCACCTTGCAGTAAATAATATGTATCAAGTTTCCTTATAAGTTTGGGCTTGGCCAGAGTGATTAACTTTTATCACTTATGCTACGGGGTGTAATGAGATATCTATTTTGGCCACAAATATTCTGCTTTAGTCTCCATCTTAGTTTTTCTTGGAATTCAAAAACTGTAGTTGAGTACAAGCTGGAAGCTCCACTAGGAGGAGCTCCTCAAAAACCTTATAGATATGATCTCTAAAATTACAAATTTCGAACACCTCTTTAGGTTCTTTTTGGAACTTGGTTTGTACATCACAATCTTTCACTAATGGAAAAATAAGCAATGTTTTTTTAAAGTCGGACCGTGGACGTGGTACATTCCCAGACGCTTCGACGGCATTGTCAGTGAGTCTCGCCATTCGTAGCACCATAGTACAGCTCATCAAAGAGACAAATTTAGATTTTGGATATAAATTATTTTCATTCTCATTAGTTCTGATTAATAGTTAAATTTCTTCACTAATGCCTCATGAGCTTTAAAGCACCTTTTTAAATATTAAATAGCCTTCTTTTCTCCCTCTATATTTAGTAAAGCTGAAGTAGTTATAAATAGAGGGACTAATAGTTTATCACTAAGCGGCAATTTTGCCTATATAACACACCTCAGTCGCCAGGTTACATGGCAGACAAG